GGCACTTAATAACCTGCTGTCTCGCAGTAAAGAAGAGTGAAACCCACCATTAATACCGAACATCTGCACTATCCCAGCGTCAGCATTGACAGTCAAACTGAAAATGACTGAGTTAAGGGTTTCAGTAACTTAAACAGGGAAGTGCATAAATTATATATACCAGTCTTCTAATATACACCATCTTACGAGCCCTTCTATTTCGTCCGGTCGATCTATATCTACTACGTTCTCCAGCCAAATTCATCCTGCCGCAATAATGCACGTTTTTGACTATCATAAGGGTATCGTGACGACTTAATCTTTATCTCGAGCACGTACACACTGTTCACAAAGAGAATGGTGGCAAGATCCAAATCATTAGTCATTTGTTTATCCACTCACCGCCTTCAGTTCACCTCAAAAAGTACTTCTTTTTTGGGCCACTGCATGCTTTACTGGAGACCAACCATCCTGAAGTTGAGAAAAGATTTTTTTGCCGTCAACTTCCCCAGACTCTCTATTTGTGGCATGTGCTAGACGTTACGTGAAAGAGACTTCAGGTGAGACGATTTCACCAGCCCTCGGCACGGCCTAGACTAGAAAGTCTGAAGACAAGTTGAGTGTGCGTTGTATGCCGCTTTATAGGTGCCTGTTCTGACCAAAATTACGAGGAAAACTTGACTTTTCTGGGTAGGTATTACTACGGTAAAACAACGGTAAAACATACCTCTTTTAAACAGCTAACTTATCTAGAGTAATTTTGAAGGAGCTGATCTGTCTCATGAAACCCTAGCGAACATTATGAAAGGTGTTTCTGGTTACAAACGATTACTTGAATGGAGACCTAACATTGATTCGCATGCAGCACACTCCCAAGAGATTTCAGTTAAGCGAGGATGTCGGCTATTGTATGCCCTTTGCTTCGACCGCCTAGAAATACTACAGTCGGTAAAAATGGGTACCTAAGTAGTGTAAAATTTCCCGCAGATTTTTGATGTACTTACAGATTCAAATATATTTTGTAAAGAAATGCATAAAACTAGGCTTTCTGATAATCATTTGGTAGCAAATTAGGTCAGGTTCGAAGTAAGTATTTGAAAAAAGGACCTCTAGATTTAAAACGTTTTGATTACGAAATTTTAACATCATGAAACGTCCATCCATAGAGCATCATATCTATCCGTTTATTAATGCTGTTTATTAAGTGTGTGACGTGATCCATATTCATTGCTTAATTTTATAAACCTCACGTGAAGTCTTCTTAAGAGCGTACAGAAGTATATAGAATTCCTTGCATAAAAAATACACAGTATGCTTTTCGGAAACCTCAAGCGCAAATTCCACTGCAGGAGGGGTCGAAACAACAACGTCGTCCTATTCTGCCCGATTAAATAAAACTGCATGAATAAATGTGTGGGCGAGTCTTCCAGCAATATTCGCCTGCCGAATTTGTACATCGACATAAGCGGTACCTCTGCTGTGCAATCTTTCAGCTGTTCTACTTTGGAGAAAAGTTCCGAGTTGACAGACGCAGAAATGAATAGGAGGAGGCACGATCGTTGAAACGCGAACTTTATTAGTCTGACGTTTCGAATTCGTACTCGAATCCATCATCACAGAGAGAATCAGATAGGGGATACTGACATGAGGAATATAGGCAGTTTGTGGAGAACAGCCCATGGTGTAAAATTACTCTTAAGATATATGCACTTCGCAGGTTCCCTCGTTCGCTTCTTGTTTTACTGGAGTCCACTTGTGTACGTTCCAGCGGAGTTTCTTCTCGGTCGTTTCTCTTGTGGGTAAGACGTATGTTACCCTTTTCTGCGACTGTCTCTGGTGATGGTTTTGAGTGAGAATCCGAAACGTCACGTCAGTAAACTCCTTGTCTTAGCAATTGCATCTTCTTCTATGTCCTCACTGTCCACCGCGAAGAATGGGAATTTAAAGTCGTCTTTGGGTTACTGAATGCGAGAGCAGTTTTATAGTGTTTATAAATCCACTATGGTTGTTCTATTTTCAGATTATTATTCTCTGTAGCTGACATTACCTCTTTTTGGCTATTTCCAGTCCAAAAGCAAACTTTTCCCTTACCGACCAAGAAAAAACAAACGTTTTTGTGACGTCGAACGGGTCTGTTATGTTAATATATATTTGGAAAAAAGTGGAGCAGGCAGTCGTCTTTCCATGCCTTAGGCGGCAGCCGTGGCCGATCGCTTGTTGCTGCCCAAGGGAAACATGTTACCTTAAATAAGAATTATCAAATTCAGGAGGAATTTACTCCCGAAAATCATTCACTGATTTCGTTAGTTTACTTCTGCATGTAGCATTCTAACTCTCCGACAAATGACCTGTGTAGGGGTCCTTAGGACTACAATCCAACTTAGGATTCGATGCAGTATGTAAACTGCAGCAACAAAAAATATTTTTGCCCCACAGGTCAGCCAATTGCCGTATTTTTCTTGTCAGCGCGTTGTGCACCATCTTGTTATAAAGACTTTGACATATTACCTAACATTCTGTCTGAGCGCTTCACTGAAGCTTATGCCTGCCATCCAAAGCCTGCTATTATTAATTTAACCCCTCGTGTGCTCCGTACTCCACCAATGTGACAGTTATTTTATGCACCACTTGCATTTAGATGCGGCTATAGCAAGCATTTAATGAAAGGGGCACTGGAATCGTTTTCTACTTTATGGTCCGCACATCTCAAAGCCCTTCAACCTTAACCATCACAAACAGTCAATACTAACAGTTTCAGGTCTTAGTACGGTTTTCAGCTGATTTTACCACTAACGTTTGAGGTATAATTAAGTAATCCTGCAAATGGCTCTTACCAATTTTTCTAATTTTATGGCAAGAAACACTTATGACAAAGAAAACGCTTCAGACTGACGTTCGTTTATGTACTTTAAAGTTGCTTTCGAGAACTCCGTTTCGAAAAAAGGCGCATAAACAACTATGCGGCACATGGTCCCTTGCTCCCTCTGTCGACAAATTTAATTTATTAGGTCTCCAACCACAGAGTTCTCGCCCCTTCTGGAGTCGAATGCCGCTAATCCTAAAACAGATGACCCGAGAATTGGGTTTTTTTAAATGCGCGGATGGAAAGAGAGGTTTTCTTTGCTTTGACTAAAGGCTCCTCTAAGTTGCCTTTAAGATGCTCGGAGTTGCTCTCGCGGGCTCCGAGGCGGAAACCAGTCGTTATTTTCCAGGGGCCAGTGTGCCGCAATATGTCCTATCCGCGCCACGTCTTTTGTGATCCACCGGCCGGCTTAGTGAATGCCAGTATCAAAAGAGTATGAGGCAGAAAAAGATAGTGATCTGAAAGTTGTTTCGTTAAGGCTTGATCCTGCAGGCGCACTTGACGAATGTCATGCGGTCAACTTACTGAATTATTTTTCAGTAGACGCTATCACGTCAGAGTAACGTCGATGACAGTATTAGGATGGAATGCACACCGACCTAGCTTCCAGTTGACCATGCGGTCACTCTTCTTCCTAATACAGCCAGTGGCTAGGCCACGTGCGTCAACGGCTCTACTCCTCTCTGATCCCACTCCAGTGAGTGCGTGCGGCCAGGTTACGTCACCGGAGTTCCTTCAGTGGGGCGCCTTGCGCGCGTCGCCTTAAGGAAGAATGCCGTTGACGTATTCAACAAGATTTTACTAAAAGTTTACACGCTCCAGACAACCTCTCGGGGCCGTTAATTGGAAATGCACATGGGCGGGACTAGCAAAAGGCGCAGTGTATCCGTCCCCACGTGCTGTTTTTCAGCTGTATATTGACTTACATTTTCGTTATCGATGTTACAGATCAACTTACCGGTCCACTTACTGAGACCTCTGCAGCACTGTTTGTTGGCCGTCGTTAACTGGACACGATTCTACTACTTGCCTTAGGAAAGTTCCCCCAATTTTATTCGCCTCGCTCAGAGGTGTTTTCGAGCACACACCCCGCCGAATGCAGTACCATTTTACTTCTGTAGTGATTCAATGCCCACAGAAGTAGCATACCTAATCACTCCAGTTCCTTCGAGAAAAGTCAGGCAGGCTTTCATCACCTTCGTTACTGTCAGCCTGCTTTTCTCAAACACCGCCCCATTCCTAATCGATATCTCGGCCTATTCTGAAAATAGGAGGTCTAGCGTAAAACAATGTTTTTATCGCCATCCAAATCGTTCAGATGAATCCATTCTAAACTTTCTTGGGGTGTGGCCAGCTCAGGTTATATTGAGTTTTTCTACTGCGCTCATTCAAGGATCTGTGAAATATGTCTCTAGTCTGTGTCGACCGGATCTAAAACCATGCCTGTTTGAGTATGCTGGCATAACTTAGCATACATCCATCCGTATGCTGTTGCAATACTTGCAGTATCATTGGTCTGCGGCATTGGCAGATTTATCTCGATGTAAGCAGTCCATCCTCTTGTAAATACTGCACATAATGAGGCGAATTATTTGCCTCCTTCACTTATTATACCGCGCCCCCGCTTTTGCCCGCTCTATGGTCTGCACATGAAATAATCAAAAATATTAAATCATCCGGATTGCATTCGCCCGCCCTTGAAACCTTCGGAAATGCACAATCAACTAGCACTCCCCGTCCGGCTCAACAACTGACTTCACGGTTTCATGGGCTACCATTTCATTTTCGGTATGCCTCTTTTAAATAAAAAGTTCCACGATGCAATTACGTTAGTTCAATTGCGGTACTGCTTCCCGTGATCATTTCTTCGCTTTTTTCTGCGTCCTCGTCTCGATCACCCACAATTTTCTTTGGAAATTTTGCGGGAAGACCTTGGCGATGTGTTTCCACTTCCTATTTGTTGGCGGCTTTCCTTTTCCACTTTTTCCTTCTACCGTGCAGCGACCGAACGAGAGAGATAGGCGTAGGATCACGGGTTATAAAGGCAGGGGATGACGGTAGCTCAAACTCTGACGGTCCACCTGATTGGAAAATCCAGTCTAAAAGTCCTCGCATCTCAGAATGGGCGGGATCAGGAGGAACAGGCATACGGGACATGGGATAGACAGCACAGGTAGTAAAAAGCTATGAGTTTATTATCAAGTATACAAGAACGGAAAACCAATATACGTAGACTACGGAAAAAATGAAGAAGACGATGGAACGACTCATTGGGAGAGGCCCGGGGTTATTCGTCCGCATGTGACCTTGGAGGCGTAGTTCCTGTAAGAGACACGAAAGAAGAATGCGTCTAGCGTGACAGTTCATTAAAACACTCAGGGTCGATCCCCTGGTCAGATCCCCGACTCTTACAACCGTGCACCGCAGCGGCTTCGGCAAACTGTTCTACATAGACCCTTTAATTCTTTTACTACGCGGTCAAATTTCACCTCTTTTAAACTAATCCCTCTGCAATTCTACATTTTCGGCTTTCCCTTGGCCTGTCCTAAGGCCCCACTCATAAAACCACAATTACCACCATTCCAGCATTACAGGCACCTAGGGTTTTCCTACCGCCAGTGCGGTTGCAGGATTAAACTTGACCGTTGTTTCCTCCGGCAGACTAATGTTACTAACATTGCAATTTAGAGGCTATCGTTTCTTCAATTAATTTAACTTCATAGAGGTTTGGCTTCAGTACCTTTTCAATACTCTATCGCTAACGCGTATCTCGTGGTCGTCTATTCACAAATGTTGATAGTCGCTACTTAACATTCAACGGTAGGACATTTTGCTTGAAATCTTTTCCTTTTTGTAGGCCAGCGCGCCTGCTGACTCAGATTCGCTTGATGTTGGAGGGTGAGTCCTCATTTTATGGCATACAAATTAAAATGTATATAGCTCCTGCCTTGGAAAACGCACAATGACAAACATTATGTTTCATGCTCACTTCGTGGTTTGCGTAAAGTCCACCCATTCTTACTTTGTTTTGTAACTTTTGGCACCCACACCTTAAACTAGCAATTAATTTTGGAAAAAATCTAAAATTTCTGTAATTTTCTCCTATGTTCTGGAGCCTACAGAGAGATTTTCTTCTTTGGTTATTTTAGAGGAGCAAACATGCGCCTCACGCCCTACGAAGTGATTCGGACATGCGACTTTATTCTTCTATGGATTTCCCTCCTCCTAACAATCATCCCAATCATTCTAATTACCTCGTTATACAAGGTAATTTAGCAAGTATACAAACTGCCTACTACCAAACGTAGAATTCACAAAGGCTTGCTATTCGCATCTAAACCGATCTTAGATCATATGACGCACGTATACCCTACAGACGCCTACACTGCCAGTAATGAAACATTGGCATACCGTGGCCTCCAATAATTCGTTCCACATTAGGTTAAAACGGTTTGAATCGATTTATCGACCGGTTCGCTTTCTCTAATTTGTAATGGGTAACGGCTAATGATTTTTTTATTCCCAACATCTGGATCTTTTTTTCTCGTCTTTCTGTTTTGGTGTTCCCTGGCGTACTTTGGACAGTGTTAAGCCTATAGTCATTCTTCCTACCGCTGTTTAACGTGCAGAACTGTAGACTTTACCACGCGTCAGAAGAGAAGAAGCGATCACTGGAACAGGAATTTTATTGGCTTGACGTTTCGGATTCTCACTCGAACCCATCATCAGAGATGGTCGCAGATAAAGGCAGTGGAAGCACAAAGACTACAGTATTTTTAGCACGTAGCTGATGGGGGACCGCATAGGTACTGCAATTAACAATTCTCGTTATCACTGCTGGGGTCGTAATTAAGGCGATGATGGCTCGTCAGTCCACGTCCGCGTCGTTAATTTCCGCAATTGCCTCATCCGTGTTGGATGCTGGCGTGGGGAGGGCGAGGACGATCCACTATCCCGGTGACAGCCGGCCAAATGGCCGGCGGGCGCCCGCAAACTCCGTAACCACCCAATAGATTCACCATACGATACTCAGTGGACACTCACGGGAAACCTATTCCTTCAGCCCACAGTACTCTCGCGGAGAGACGCGTACGCGAACTCAGAGCCGGCCGCTCGTAGGTGTCCGGATCATCATCAGGCTTCTGCACAGAATAAACACACCTACTGGTCTCTTTCCCTTCTCCTCCTAGACGGGACTGGGCCCGAACTATTTTTTGACGAAAGTACATCCACTTTCCTAATTGCTACAACCCCCAGCTGAGATGGCTCCAATGAGATAGATTAGTCAGCGGGCTTCACGACAGACAGAAGATATAAGCGATATCAGTTCTAATCCGGACAGTGTAAAGTAATTAGAACCTGAACAGTTCAGTTTTATTAAGGGAGAGAGAGGCGAACGTATTTAAACTCGCGAGTGGTTACAAAATTTCGAAGAAAAAGCATCGAGTATACATGAAAATTGGGAAAGAGAGTGCTTACATAATTGCATACTAAACGCCAGCAGCTGACTGCAAGTCAAAACAAGTAAACAAGAACTTCTACTCACTTGCTATGAATAGTATACTTTTATACAATTTCGGTGACTGGTTATGTGGGTGTGTGGTTGGTAAGCAATCGCTCAGCGTGACTGCGAATACCGGTAAAAACTGCGGAGCGCGGTGTCAAACCAGTCACCGGCGACAGAAGTTGACTTAATTTGGAAACATCAGGACTATAGGCGGGCCTTCCTCAGGCTCCCTTTTCTCGTTATAGAATATTAAATAAAACTTAATCCATGGTTCCTGTGATCGCCTTATCTTCTCAGAATATTAAATGGACAATAAGCGTGAATAATCCTAAGGGATTGACTGAAGCCACGAAAGGTGTCTTGAAATTGCAACTGTAGACGAAATAACTGTCCATGGAAAATCCTCCCAGCCAAATGTGTTCAGCTTGTAACTGCCGTCATACGCAAGTAAACAGTGGGGTGAAGAACCTATTCCACCCTCATTTACATTTGCCACTCCAAAATACAATTTTCTTCACTGACCGCTCTCTGGCCACCTTTTAAAGTCTTCATGCCTTTCGTCCTCCACACTTCCAGGTAACCTTTTGCATTCTTTGGGAAATTTTAGATCCTGGGACAAATGTACATCCGTGACGACCAATTCCTCATGGTAGTCGGAACGATTGCTGCGACATTCAACACCTTTGGAAGACCGGTCTGGGGACGAATAGGTGACATGTTTTCATACAAGGTATTAAATGCTTAAATCGTGTGCTTCAGTTCTCATGCTTTTTATGTATTGCCGTCTAAAGAAGACAAGTGGGCGAGAGCTAGCAGAGAAGACCTTCAAAACAGTTTATGAGCGTGAAGAATTGTTTCCATTTTCGGAGGTTTTCTGCTGTAGATTCGCCCGGGTCTTTCGGGAAAGGCACCTGCGGTCCAGTCTTTTAGTCATTTTCGGAACAAGCAGCATTTCCCTGCCTCGTCGAATCTGGTCTATTTACCACTTATTTTTGCATTCCTACTAGCCTCTTCTTCAGTCCACAATGTACGCGTCGCTTGCATGCAGCCTTACATTATTTGTCAAAGGTCTGCATAATCTTTTTCAGTGGGATTAGGCATTTCCACTCTCGCTGTATCGGACGGCGTTGGCTTATATCATGCATCCTTCAGTCAAGTTCATTTATTACGTCAGTAGTCCAGGCGGAGTTAAGTACTACCTTTTCGTGAGCAACCGATAACTCGAAAAATCAACGCGCTTGCATATTTTAGCACGAGGAAAGGCTACATTGTTACTGCGAAAACGAAAAAACATAGCATGGCTCTTGGTGTCAAATAATACGACTATCCGAGTGTCACATTATGATCCATCTCAAGCGACTGGGCCTAATTTGACGACTGGATAAAATACAAGGAGGTAAATTTAACAAGCCTCATGTACTGGCCGTGGCATCAATTCGACTCACTTCATGCTGATAGGCCTGTCGTACGTTGTTTTTAACCAATATCACGGTGGAGTGTCAGTGCGCCTGTCAAGGACGGTAGATCACTTGCGAAGATTCAGTTGCCGTAAAAGGGTTATTTAAGAAAAATTGCAGCCTACCCAGCTAGCTAATTCGTTTGCTACATTATCATTGGTTTTCACGCGCCCGTAAAGTTTCCTTCTCCCTAAATGTTATCAATCTCTCGTCATCAACTCTGCTGACTATGATGTTGATTTTTTGTACCGAAACAGATCCCCCTGATCACCACATTTATCGTCTGGAGTGTTACATACGTGGTTTTGCCATTCCTTGGCAATATTGAGCAGGCTGGTCGCTACCTGTTCGGCGCCTCTGTGGTGACGATGTTCTTCTGCTTCAGTGGGGTCTTTGTGCTCTCCATGTGTGCCATCTCGGAGATTTTTGGACCCAAACACTTTGCTCTGACGTTTGGACTCGTTTCTACGGCAGTGGTAAGTGAATGTGTTCTTCGGGCACATGCAGACGTCCGTAGCACCCTAGACGCCTATTTGTATCCAGCGACCTCGGCGGGCAGCAAGGAGCGTAGTTTTAAACTGAATCCCAACTTTGGAAGAACACATGAAAAACTAGACGATTCCATTTAGATGCACGTCCCAAGCTTATAGAAATTGTCGGAAATAATTAATAGTTTTGAACTTTTTGAATTTCAATCATGGGCTGTTAAGAAGTCTTCATGTTGCATAAGCATGATTAAGCTGGCATTCAGTTCTGATGGACCTGGGATCTTGTCTCAAACTAGTCCACATGCATCGTTATGCTGGCTTTCACAAAAAGACCTAAATTCCCTTCCCCGGTAATCTCCACCAGAACTAGTTTGTCAGTTAAGTGGTAGGGATGTTGAAGTGTTCTGGAAATCCGAAACCGAATGACGTCACGATACAGCGTAGAGGAATCGCCACCATAGTAGGCCAGGCCTGTTGCGAAGTGCACTCGTAAACTCAGCTAGCCCATCAGCGTGTGATACATCGCAAAGCAAGTCCGATCTCTTTGCTCACGCGTACAGTCCCAGGCAATGGCCGGCCGAACATTCGAGACTTTTCCATGGGGGAGGTTCTTGTTTGAAAGACAGTCAATCCGCGACCGACATACAAGATGCCAGAATGCTGTAGAACCGTTAGGAGCGGAAGAGTTGGATATGACGTTACTCAAATCGGCTGAATAAAGAGGCCGTACCCGGAACCCGCCCTCCTTCTCTCCCTCTTCCACCTGTCCAGACATAACAAGAAGTATTATTAACAAGAGCAGGCTGAGTAGGATGGCCGTAACTTGTTTATCTGCATATATATATATATAAATTCAGGAATGGGCGCACACCGATCCATTGGCTTCCCGAAGCAAACAAGCTTCGTATGGGCGATAGGGGTCACAAACAGGCAACCACCTACCAGACCGAAGTCGGCCAAGCTATGATAGCAGAGGGGAGACGACAGAGTCTGGGGGTAGATTGATACAGCACTGTTTCGGGCTTGTTTGCCTTCATTCAGCCAATCATAACCCCGACCACCAGCAGCTGGTACCGGAAACACAAACATGCGCTCAGACGCACCTGGCGCAGCTGGTCCACCACTGGGGTCTACCAGATGGGTCATAAGCACTTCATCGAACCAGGTGCGTCTGAGCGCATGTTTGTGTTTCCGGTACCAGCTGCTGGTGGTCGGGGTTATGATTGGCTGAATGAAGGCAAAGAAGCCCGAAACAGTGCTGTATCAATCTACCCCCAGACTCTGTCGTCTCCCCTCTGATATATATATATATGCAGATCAAAGGTGGTATGCATTCCGAGCCGATATAATAAAAACGGAAGAGGCTCTTCGGAAAAACATGGAGTAACACTTATGAATTTCCAATTTGGTGACACTAACCCGTCATCAGAAGTAATGAAGGCAAGAGAGGAATTGAGACAGTCACACTAGATTAGTGGGGGCAACAGGGAAGACGCTGGCAGGCGGACCATTAGCGTGTGAGAGGGATTATGTGGGCACAGGGTCACGGTAGGTTCCTAAGCGGGTGGTGGAAAGGAGGGCGGAACAGTCACGGTTCCCTGCGTTGGAAGGAGAGACAGAGTGGTAAGTTAGCGGGATTGCGAGCAGCTGGATTAGCAGCCGCTAATGCGGTGTAGGGCAGGACTCGATGAACCGTGACCGTAGGTCCTCATAATGGGTGTCGAGGTCAACATCGTGGTTGATGCCGTCCGCATTGTAATATCATGCCTTTAGAAATTCTCTCACTCGTTTTATTCTAGCCGTGTCGATGACCTCAGTGTCATCCAAAATGATTCTCTGGCCGCACTCGAATGCGCGAGCAAGGATGAGACGCAGTGGATCACGAGGGCGGGCAGCTACTTTGTGTTCATTAATACTAGCGCCTAGGCGTCCACCCATGTGACCAACATACGCGCAAGTGCAGTTAGCACACGGATGCGATAGATCCCATTCGCCTTCTGCTCTTTGGGGATAGGATCCTTTACTCGAGATAATGCTACGCGCACTGAGGATGCTGGCTTGTGGACAATGCGGATGCTCAACCGATTTAGCTGCCAAGCGATCACTTCTGGGGTCCCCCGCATATAGGGCAGGGGGAGGGTTTCTGTGTCACGATTTCCCCACTTAAAATGGGGCCTCGGAGTTGTGTCTGACGCCTGAGGCGGCACTTCACAAAACTGGTCGGATATCCGTCAGATTAAAACAACCGCTATGGGTAAATTAGTTCTTCAGAAGATCGTCGTTGCTGAAATAACGGTAGGCCCGGTGGAAGAGAGTTTGGACGAAGCTTTTTTCATGAGCCGCAGGATAACTGCCTCCATAATTAAGGAGAATCTCAAAATCAGACTCTTTCCCATGGACGCTTTTTGTGAGACTGCCATCGCCGAGCCTTTGTATTTCCTCGTCCAGAAACGGCAAGCTGTCTTCTACTGCCTCTTCACGGGTAAACTGTATGGCCGGGATGACATCACTCAGCCTCTGATGTAGCCTTCCGACTTCGCACTTCTCTGTTATGACAAAGAGGTCATCTGCATAGCGAAGCCACATTCTGGGCATGAGAGTCGGGAAAACCTCTTCTTCTAGTCGCTGTAATATTAGTTCGGCAAGAAGTCCTGATGTTGGTGAGCCCATTAGGGTTCCCTTCACTTGTTAGTAGTACTTATTGTCGAATTTATAATAGGTCACAAGGAACAGAACCTACCGTGACCATATGCCCATCTCACCCTTCTCACACGCTAATGGTCCACCTAGACTTTAACAAATCATCCTGAGTCATCTATAAAGTGCTGACGAGACACTCAGCGGGCACTTGTGTCGGCAGAGGTAGTGGCCATACGGTTGGTCAACCCAATGTTGTGTCCGCATAAAGCGTTTGTCCAGGCTCCAGGGTTCTCCCCGCCAAATACAAACTTAGCGTGTGTTCACACCTACTGCCACGTCGCGTTGCAGAGACGAAACAGAGACATGGCTAATTGCCAGACGCCTTCCCTCTCACCCCCCCCCCTAAGCCCCTGACAGAACTAGACTTTGGCCTCCCAACCTTCTCAATCCTCTCCCCTATACTTATTTTTTATTGGTTGTTCAAGTTTTCTGCTCTACTCTACCACACAGGCCTAATGATGAATGATCGAAAGCGTATGTTTGCCGAACTTGACTTCATAAGGGGCCAAAATTGCTCATAATATTTTCGAGTAGTCAATCCTATGCAGCATACAAAAGTCAAGGTGGCCAGATTCCCCTGCTTCCCGTGATCCTGTCGTTGCAAGCGAGGTTAAAAGCCGCCGTGCCCGAGGCAGCGATGCCTCGGCAGTTTGACCGTCGCAGATGAAAACCCTCTCACCACGTGCCCCACGGAGTAAGCGCACCATTGGTGACCTGCGCGTACTATCTACCCGACTTTCTTCTCCCTCACCCATCTTGATCCGATGACAAGAGTATGTAAAGACAACTGGAGTTGGGCGCGGGTACAATGATTGACAAAACTAAACCGTCATCTTCCATAGACCGGTCAGTTGTCCGAGCCTGTCAATCAGTGCATGATGAAATTGGACACAAGAGTTAATTGCGCGTGCGTTAGACTAGAAGGGGAGGGACACTTTTTCAGCCGCTAGCTCGCTCCCGCTCCCCACAGCAGCCTTCTAGCAATGATTAAACGTTTTCAAGGTGACTAGGATGGGCCTAGATGTTGCCTGTTCCTCGTATTCAATTCACATGCATCAGGACTCATTCGTTCGGAGCCCGCATATTTCAGAGTCGTCTTTAGACAGCATTAAGAAAGGGCCATTCTTTTCGGACCCCTGGTCCACAGTAGAATCGAGTTTTCCTATCATTTGAGGACCTTCACGGGCAAATTGTTTGGTAGGTCTAATTTCCTTGAAAGTCCCTTAACTTTATCATTCTAGCGAGGAAAGCGCTAAATCAGCCCTATTGTCCATGCTCCCTTCCGCCACGTATTGATGGCGTCTCCCACTCATGTCGGCTGAAGAGCAAATTAGCATAGAGGCTGATGTGTCATTAAACCGTCGCCTAGTGCTTGTCGTATGCCTTTGGCTCCGTTTGACCTCAGTGAGCGATGGCTTATTAAACTGACCCTGCTGAGAAAGGAAACACAGGCAGTCATGAATAGAATGCATGATCAATCCTCAGACCTTAAGTTCTTTTACCATTTTGATGTGCCGAAGGGTGAACTCACGATGTTGCATCTTCCTTTCAAGTTATATGCGTAAAAATCCAAATTACTTAGTTTGAAGGAATTATTTTCTACTGATTTCCAACTAGACGCCAGGAAGCTTGATAACAGCCGTCGTAATATCCCAGACCGACCTGAGAGAACACGTTGTGTACATCTGTCTCATATGTGGGGCCCTCACATTGCTTGGTATGTTAAAGTTCTGGATTTTCGAGGGGCCTATCCTGCATCCTTTCATTTTTGCTTTCCGGTATTGTAGGTGTTTGAAATGAGTACAATGAAAGGAATTTGTAGGCTATCCCCACTTATCTTGAGAACAAACGAATCGTCAGACACCACACACTTTACAGCAAACAATAGTTAGTAGTAGGTCTTAGAGTCCTCAGCTTGATTTATTATTCATAGGAACGATAGTACGAAAATAGTTAGTCAGGTGACTTCTGTAGCAATGATTTATGCAGTGAAAACAGAAGAGGTAGCCATCTTTTCTGCAGTGAGAGTAACAATAATTCATATTGACCCAACTGTGAAAAACCCGGCGCCCCCGTGGGAAGGCTTTAGTACAGTTGTGTCAATATGAATTAATTAAAATCTGCTAAAATATCTACGAATTACACGAGCCTGATAGTCATCTGTTGGATTCTAGGTGAATTACTTAGGAAATCCTGCTTGGGCAATCAACCTACTGTATCAGATTTGGTGCATTCCAGACGTTACAATAGGTTGGGCGGGTAACTGGATCCAGATGTATTAAACTCGCGTCGTCCGGTGGGGCCTCGTGGCTCAAGTGGTTAGAGCGTTGGCTGTACCATAGTCTTCCCCTTACTGCGTGGGTTCGAATCCCACCGAGGCGCCGAGCTTTTCACAGTTGGGTCAATATGCATTATTCAAAATCTGCCAAAGTATCTATGAATAAAAATAATGTGCTTTTGTCAGTGGTATTGAATGACTTCGGCCATTCTATAAAGGGACATCGAAATTTGTGGTTCGAAACGTTGTCAACTTGCGAAATAAATTGTTTATAAGACTGAAAGACAGGCTACCACGGCTCCTTCACAGTATTGACCTGCGGCAACAGCCGCCCCTCAGAGGGCAAGCAGCGTTTAGTTTGTGTCCTTTGAGAAACCACCACTCTGTGCCATCTCGACCGTCGTTTTCCGATGGTGTCCATCGTGTTTGCCTCAGCAGGCTGAAAGCAGGGACGGCGACTTGCATTGGAGTTAGTTTGCAGCAGTGTTAGACTTGCGTTGCACCTACCGCACTCTCTCCATCTCTCCCATCTGGATCCGGTGTTATGACAGAATGAAGAAAACCGGAGACGAGAGAGGGCGCAGGTGGGCGGCATGGCATAAGTCCGCAACTACTGTGCGTGACCGATTTCATGAAACGTTGGCCGAACTTCTGAAATACGTTTTAGATTAGGAAGGATTACTTAGATGGATTTGTAATACTGATTATCTTGCGATATAATCCGATAATATTTCGGACTCGACAGGATGTTGACCTTTGAATGCACTTCTTTTCAACCTCCTATGGAAACTGTACTCAGTAAAGAATGGCTACTTAGTTAGCGTGTGTTTTTCACGCTGATTTTCGATGGTCTTGCAAATCTAAATATAGGTCATAAAGAATACGGATAAAAATGCTTTCTTTTTCTCATTTGATAGAGAATAACGTCCTCGTTACATTGTATAAGTTAAGAAGGAGTATAATGAGGTCTTAAAAAAGTTATCTTATTCCCGAATAATTTGGGGCCTGATGAGCCTTTGCATTAGCGTTTAGTGATTTCAGTCTACAAGGTGCATGCGTTCCGTATATGGAAAATCATACATTCTTCTATGCCTTTAAAAAGATACCATATAGAGTCCATAAAGTTTGGCAGTGAATTCGGGCTATGTTGTACATTTCATGAGGAGCTGTGGCAAATGGACGGGTACGATGCTGTGAATGGACATTACACGGTCGTAAAAACCTCATAATTATAAACGTTTTAAAACCTCATTATACTCCTTCTTAAAGTATACAATATAAAGATGACGCGATTATCTATCAAATGAGTAAAAGAAAGCATTTTTATCGTGTTATTTATCAAATATATTTGAATTTGCAAGACCATCGAAAATCAGCATGAAAAATACATGCTACTTAAGTAGCCATTCTTTACCGAGTACGCTTTCTACAGGAGATTGAAAAGAAGTACATTTAAAAGCCGACATCCTGCCGAGTCTGGAATATTATAGGATTTTGCCGCAAGATAATTAGCATTAAAAATCCACCTAAACAATCCTTCCTTATCTAAAACGCATTTCGGAATTTCGGCCAACGTTTCATGAGATCGGTCACGCACTGTAGGCCTATCACCCCAACCCCGGTCCGCAGCGCACAACTGAACAGGACTTTGCACAACAAAAATAGGGGGTGGGGCAGCCCAGATCCCAACTGGCGCGACCTGGGCCTGTGCTTGGCTGTGCCGCCACGCCCCTAATGTTGGCATTAGTTATGGGTGCGCATTCTCAGTAATGTCAGCCGGTCCCCGATCTAGCCCTCGTGTTGGTCCAGCTCCGTGGCACAACACACAGAGCATGTTCGAATCGTCCGTTACGGCGCTCACTTTCGCGACCATTTGGCTCGACTGGACCTTCTATTAACCTTATAAAAGGAAGGGAGAGCAAGTGAGGTCAGTAACACGTACGTCTCATCCACCAAATCAAACCCAATCAAATTCACGCGGAAGTCCTCACTGCTTCGTCATAAGGTGTTAGCCTGAAGTCCGGACGAGCTATTGGTCATTACGTGAGTATTTTTCTAGATGTTGTGTTGGGTAGGTGTGTTCACCATAGGTGTCCCTGATCCATTATTACGTGATGCAACTATTGGTGTCCACAAACAGTGAACATCGTTTACCAAAGCTATACAGGATCACACAATGAAGTGCTGACAGACAATCAGTGGAAGGTGATCCATCTGACCTTCGCTTTGGGAAACCGTTTATCTTTTAATATGCATTACTGTTAGTTGTTGCCCAGAAATTAGATCTTGACACTAGGATTATACTACTGATGCAGCATTCTCAGAAGAAAATTTCACTCGATCATATCAAACTATCCAAACAAAATAAGTTGACGCTGTTTCTCAATTGAAGGGCCTCGTGTATTTAAAGTTTACGGCCGACTTTCTCAACCAAGCACCAGGTCGTTGCTTATGCACGATTTGTTGGCGATAGTGTTTCTAAAAAGGGTCCTTTCTTTAAATTCTTCACACCACGCAAAAAGGAAAATTGGACGAGGGAGTTATGTTTTTGGACGTCTTTAATGATACTGACCCCCAATAACCATTGGTGAACCGAAAATACGTATTTATAGGCAATGGAAAGTTTTGGGAACTAGTTCCACAATTTCGCTTTGCCGAATAATCGAAAGGTTTATAGTACGAAAAATGCAAGACTACCAAGTTTACGTTTCGAAAGTCTTTTTGGCAGTTGGAACACGCATCTAATATGACAATAAACGGTCTAAAAATTTATCCTGCTAAATGCGTAAAAAACTGCCGCATCACTGAAATTTTACTTCCGCCCCCCATGAAGCTGGAGTGCTAACAGCCTCCCTGAGCTGTAAATGTGCGCCCCCGCCTCGTTGTCATGTAGGTTGCAAAGGTCCCCAGGAGGAAGAGGACGAGGAAAAAGAATCGGAGTCCCCCATTTGACCTCAATTCCCCGGTTTCTTTAATAAAGTGTAAATTCTTTGCTGTCTCAGACTACTCTTCATGATATGCGAACCTTCTGCAGTTCGACCAGGACTAGGAACCAGCAGCACACACCTTCTCATCCGTCGAACTTTGGTCCTTTCGGGTGGCAGGGCTTCAACTCTTACTTCTGATTACCAGCCTTTATTATATGTAACCACCAACCTGAACTGTACATACGTTTACTGCCCGAATTTGGACGCTTCCTTTTATTCCAAATTGTCAACCTTTGCAACCAGAAAATCCGAAGGTTTTCCTAACGGCAATCAAAAATGATCAATTTATTCCCTGTGCGAAAGAGTTATAACTGCTTTTTTTCAAAGACAACACTTGCACTAAAGATAGTTGACAGTAACTATTGCCAATTATGGGATTTATTCCAGGGTTCAACGACTTTTGTCTGATGGCTCCGGCATGTTTGTAACACACCATGGAACGAGAACGAGGAAATAATGATCATTGACAATGGAAGACATAAATTCCCTTCCCGATGCACTGAAGGGTGCCAACTGACTGTTTTAGGAAAGCTCGAAGTAAATTCAAAACGAAGCTTAGCGAGTTCAACCCGCCTTAGCACACAGAGCCTCATCCACTGCTGTAGTTACCTGACTTGGCCCACCATCGACTTCTGACTGTTTCTAAATGTCAAAAATGCTTGAGTAAAGTCCGTTGGAAGCAATGAACCCTTTTCCAGTGCCGAGGACGTGAAGTTGCCACCGCAGACTGACTTTAGCCAGGATTTCGATTGCCGGATCCATCGACCAGATCAGGGCTAGTGTTGACTGTGCCCAGTGAGGCCTCATAGAGAGAGAGAGAGACGAAGAGAGTGGTGACAGTTGCTTTCGTAGGTTTTGTGGGAAACAAGTCCAGATGTCCAATCGGTCTGAGCTGCATTCACCGAGCGGCGGTGCATTCAAGTGGTGTATGAGCAGCTGCGACTGTGTGAGCGAACGTCTGCCCGAGCTTAGGTTGGCCGAGTTGCTGCAGGTCAGCGCATCTGGAAACGCTCGCTGTCGGGGCTGGATGACCTTGAGGCAGCGGAATTTAAGAAAAGAACGCCAAACGTCATAACGGTTGTTTTCGGTAGCAATGCTACGCAACCTCTTATGCTGGCCGCGTGTCGGTTAATGGGCGTTAACAGTGAATTCTGGTTATCATTGTGCTCAGCTACGTTGACAATCGAACCCCTAGTGCAGATGCCACTGGGGTGGACAACGAAAGCTTTACAGGCAGTGATACTGAACCTTAAATATGAAATGTAAACCCCCGTTTTAGTGTGTCTGAAACGACACTGTGAAAGTTTTTCGGAGTTTTTGGATTCTCCAAGACTAATATTTTCGATCCATACACTAGCCGAATCGATTTTAAGTATCATATTCGGCTTTTCAAAAACAGCCTTTCGACTTTTCATTAAAATCCTGACAGATAGCGTCGAGCCATTTGACGTCATTGTCCCTTTTGGCGAGCTCTCATTTCCAAAGGAATGAAACTAAAGTAAACTTAACTTTCGCTACCTTCGAATTTGAAAGTAATGGGTTAAGTCAAATTTGGTTTTCTTCGCTGGTTCCCTCTGTTGTCCTTCCTCTTTCTTTTTTGGCTCCTTAAAAGAATTTTAAGGGACTGTCTGGTTTATACACGTTGGCTTTCGGGGAATTGCCGTGAGGCTAGTAAATTTCTATGTTGATTGAAACATGTAGGTAACTAGAGGAATCGAGGAATGTTCATTATTTCACACAAGTGAAAGGTGGGACGATATGGAACGTTAATTAAAGGCAGTCATTATCAGTCTAGGCGAGACATAATGGTTTGTGCCGTTGGGGGCGTAGTGCCGCGCACCCCATAAATCCACAGGATGTCTTTAAAGCCTAAACTTGGATATAGAGGGGATGTGCTAAGACCTCGCCAGTCTGCATTTATGCTATCTTATGTAAGAAGACCTCTCGCCTCCTAAAACTACTTTTGTTTTCGATTTTCTTAGTAACACAGAAGTTTTATCTGAGGAGATTTCTCCCAGCATTTTACATTAAGAGTCAGACACCTACCGTGAAAAGATCTATGTTTAAGAGGACCAGCTGGTCTTGGTGCCGGTAAGTTTCTAAACGTAAATACCAGACAGGGGTACCAAGGCAAAAGTTGGGTGTCGGGATGGCTAAAAGTCAAAGTGACTCATTACTACCACCCTCCAGAAATTGTCCCAGGCCACCTCTAATAGCATGAATGGGGAAACGGAAGCTACCTGATTGGAGGGAATAAGATGGAAACATTCGGCAGCACACGGTACTCGAAACGCAACTTCGTGTTTCCGCCGTTCCGTTGTTTAAATCCACAAATGTGAACGCACAGGGTCCCCCAACATATGAAGTGCACCAGTCAGAATGATGGCCGTGCTTTATTTCCATTGCTGCGCGCTAATTGGGTGTAATCTGTTCAGGCAACTGGTCAGTTTTTTCAACAAGCATCTCCGTCATTGACATCTTAGAATATGAAATACCACCGACTGTCACATATGAATAGACTGCGCAGACCTTCAGTCCGCTGACATGATTATAACTTAATAATGACCCCGCCAGCAAAGGCCTCTAGTATGGTTACAGGCTGTTAGGACATCACCCCAGACGGATAGTAGTAAGTGGGTTGAAAGCTCGTCTACCCAAAGTGGACTCGCTATTGCATATCAAATGATATAGGCAGAATGATAAAGGGAGACTGAAATGGCCATTTCTGGCTTATTAGCCGTCGTCAACCAGTCATACCCAACCCCGGGTGTGGCAGACCCGAGGTTCGAACTCGCGACCTGTTTTGTTAGAAGTCCACGCCTCTAACCACTGAGCCACGAGCCCGTTGCCCTGTCGGTTTTCGATCGGGAATATATAATGGTAGGGGGGCGCTCACCGATCGTTCTTACGAAACACACTCGTTCCGTTGTGCCTTATGGACTCTCTCTCTCTCGAGCCCAACCAGCAGCCGCACAGCGGCGCATGATATAGGCAGAACGATATTATCGACAAAGACAAGGGAGACTGGAATGGCCATTTCTGACTTATAAGCTGTCGTCAGCCAGTCATGCCCAATGCACTAGTAAAATTGTGGGCTAATAATAAGGGTAATTCAGCGTAAGATGGTGGTGACTCGCTAGAGAGCGTGCAAACCCAAAATCCGCAGTCATGACTATAGTCTAGTATAAACGGCACGCGAAAAGTGTATTATACCACCAGTAAACCGAAAACTACTGTTATGAACGGCACAGAAATCAGAAGATGCGTGTATTTGGAATGAACATGCTCCTCCCCAAAATTGAAAGCCGCTAAGTCTAATTAATTAAACGTACTGAAATAAAATAAGTAAACACCATGATGCAATAATTCGGGTGCAGCAGTAGGTCAATTTTAACCAGCTAAATTTGGTGCTAATTAGAAGTTAGTTGATAAATTAAAGTTTTTCTTGCGCAAAGTTGTGAACACTCTCAATGCTGTCATGAGAGATTTCATAATGTTCCGAAAGCCTTTGCGTCACATAGTGGACGCTTACTAATTGCATCGTCAGTGATGGATAATGTCCAATTTTGGATTAAACAACTTTCCGACTGCCTGAAGGATGCTGATGATGGAAGTCCCGATAATTGCTCTGTACTGCTGACTGCTGAGCACAAACAGGAGTATTTTGTTCACACCAGGCAACTTTGGCGGTGTAGCAAGGGACGACACTATTGCAAATATTACCAGTTCATGTGATTTACGCTTCTAAAAACACGTCTTATTCTAATATAAGGGGAAAATTCGACTCCCCAGCAAAATATATAGTGAAGGCGAAGTACCCACTGGGGGTTGTAAATCTGTGTTCTGACTTTTTAGACAGCGAGTTCGGTTTGCCATTTTCAGATCTTGGGGAATTCTGTCCAATCTCGCAGTCGAAAGAGTCGAGAAGAAGGATACGATACGGATTGCATGGAACTCGTGGTGCCCTGATTCCAGATCTTCTTTACATGCGAAGGGATTTCATATGATCAGAAAAAGGGCCGGCCGATGCAGTTAACATTCTTCAGGCCAAATTCTATAGCGATCGTCAAACGTTCCGAGTGACAGACGTTCGAGAAGTACAAATTCAAATATTGAGTGTACTGCTTTGGCTATGTCTTTGTCATCCTTGAAAAAGATAATCTGATCATTGTAAGGGCCGATTGACCACAATTACCACGGAGCCGTCATCGACGTTAGAGGAGAAAACGGAGAAAGAAATTCAGTTCTTTGTTGACCTTTTCTGATCACAATCCGACGACCAACTACGGCTTCCACGGCATACAGGAAACTGACCATCCCAAAACAAGTATAAAGTTACAATGGCAATCACTCGGTGCAGTGGAAAGAATCTCTACACGCGTTCTCTTCCATCGGACAGAAACTCCCTGCACTTCGACAGCCGTTAAGCGAGACGAGATCAAACATTCCAGAGAGATCTTTTGAGACGACGGACATCTAAAAGCGTTTGTGGAGATACTTCTAATGTTAGGAGGGAATACGACTGAAGACCGTCCAGATTATGCCAGGGCATCCACGCGTGAAAGGTGCCTCCGAGATTGCCTGGATCTCAAGTGCCATCCGAAATAGGAGTCATCCACAGATCTGACTCAACACTCGGCCCACAACTAATGCAGCCGAAAGACACAACCCCTGAAGCGGAGAGGTCAGTCGCTAACCACAGCGAAGACAACAACGTCGGAGATGCCGCTCGAAGGCTGCAAACGCGGATAAGTGCGCAGTAGCTGACCGTCCGAATGTCAGCTCCAAAGTCCGAGGTGGCGATCTATGGGCGTTGAGGAGACGAATTTTCAACTCTGACGCATCTGCGGACCGAGGTAAAAAGCCCGCATCAAGGCTGGCGCAGGAGATCTCAATGTTCACTGATCATTCGGTCAACCACCAATTACTCTTGCTTGCGCCTCACCTGCATTTATGAACCTACCTGCCGAGAGGCGGTGAGGGAGCGGACTCCTTGTGGTCGCCAGTTATTGCCGCGGTCAACGAGATTGGGAACAGCACGGAGTACGGCACAATTGTGGCCGGGTTCACACCCACAGGCACATTGGCAATCTAAAGTCAGAATTCTCAAGACTACGAATATGCATATTTAAAATCGTTGCATTAAATGCCAGGACACAAATATTCACCTCGGGGTGAGCACACTTCTTTTGTTTAGCAATTCATTCTTTAGTTTTTTCGGAATGCAAGCCAGTGGAAAATGCATTCTTACCGAAGCTCTTTTTTAACGCTAAGCAGGGTTAATGAACTGGCATTTATTTGGCTTTCGGTCAGTTTCTTGTTTCACTTTCGTCTAAAACTTGGATTTACAAAATGAGTACATTTGTTCGGCAGCGGGCAACATTATTTGTGTTCCAGTAAGCGAATGACGAATCGCAGCCTTCCATAGGTCGCAGTATGAATTACGACTTGCAGATACCCCAGCTACTTTGCTATTTCGATCAATTATCTTAACTGGTCTTTCCTTAGCCGTCGTTCCCTCGACCAGCTGACTGAATCCTCAGAGCCTGTTCTAATTTGTGACAAATGCCATGCTCACATAAAAACGAAGTTTTCAGGCCGATGTTCTGCAGCGTTCAGACCTCTATTTATCGAGGTAATCATAATCCTTGCTACCGCTAGGAACCCTGCAAGACGGTCCAGCCATCAGAACGACAACGCCTACCGTGTGCCAAAGAGCTTGGTGGGCGCAGAGATAGGGTCTTGTTCGTAAGTTAGTTTACAGTGAGGCAGACTTGCGAAGCATCTGCCACACCTTCTCACCTACCTGAGACCTGTGTCAAGACAAAGTCAAAAAGACCGGAGACGGTATCAGAATTAGTCTGGTACCTCACCACAGTACCCCTTCCCACATCCGAGACCGGAGAGCAACGTAAAACGGCGCCGGAGGACATGCATAAGATTAAAACAAATGCGTAACTAAACAGTCAGGGAAATGGACGTGACGGCCACTGCGAGTGATATAAGCGGAAGGTACAGTTGAAGAGGGTTGACTGTGTGCTACTTTGGAGGAGGATGAGGTTGTAGCTGGATTCTGTGGGCGTGTAGGGAGAGGAAGTATGCAAGACGATGGCGTAGAGGGCAAGGAAGGGGAAGGAGAAGAAAGTAGGCAAGGTGAAGTATCAGGAGACAGTGGTTGCGGAGGAACAGGGGTTAGGGGGTCAGCACATTTTTGTCCTCGTGCAATAGTCAGGCGGCCCCTCCACAACAGCAGCCTTAACCCGATCGGTGCTGACCACGTCCTCCTTGTCACCGCGAATAATCCGGCAGGTCTTTGTGCTGCGTTCGAGCACACGGAACGCTCCTTCGTACGGTGATTCCAGCGGCCGACTTTCAAGGTCACGCCGGACAAACACATGCGGGTAGTTGTCCTAGCCTTTTTCGACACAAGACTCGGTCGTTGGAGTTTGAGGTGGAAGCAAAGAAAGCGAAAGCATAAACTGCATCAGACGGTGCGCAAAATTGTCAGGGGTCCTATCGGCACCACGAGAGTTTTTCGATGGCGACAGGAGTAGCTCGAATCGCGTACGATGGTGATGCTGCGATCTGTAGAGCGGTGCGGTTGAGACATTAACCATGGGTGTGCTGGCGTGGTCTCGTCAGCGTGTGCCGGTCAGTTAGCACGTTGGTGTGCGACGGAAGAACGTTTCGGACACAAGGTATCCCAGTGATTGCTGAGTCGGACGAATCCATCAGGGAAATAGGTTCACTGCCGTCCAGACATAAAAAGTGGGATAGGGCGCAGTGTCGAAAGTGTGCAAGTTTATCGCTGTATACACTGTAGCATGTGGAGTGTACGAAGGCAAATCACGAATAATGGTCTCGTTGGAAAGGGGCGGAAAAATGTTTCGGACAAGGGAAAGGCGTTTGGAGGGCAATACAGTTGGAACTCTGCTCTACATAGTTTGGATGGGGTTTGACCTAGATTTGTATGACTTCGTTTTGTTGGTATGTTTCATCTCGACTCTCGACAGAGTGTCAGCAGTTGCGTTTTCCTATCCGTGGACACGATGAGGGGCGCAGGAAAAGTAGCAGGGCGAAGTCAAGTGAGAACTTTGTGACGATCGAGCTTTGTCGTGTGTAGTGGTTGCATTTCCACCATGTCGGCGTCACCAGTTGGTAGCAGCTAAGTGGTGATAGTGCATGCTCAGTGAGCCACAAATGCAGGCCATACTCCAAGTTGTGAGAAGGGGGACGCCAGTTGGGTGGAAGATTTTAATCTGAACATAATAATTGGGGAAAGCTGGCACCAGGGTGATGGGCTGTGGAACGAATGCGAGTGCAGCCCAAGAAGGAGAGAAGAGATAGGAAGAGGTGGGATTCGAACTGAGCTCCGATACCAGTCGTGATGATGGAGGGAGCAACGAAGATGGCAACGCAACGACTGAGGAAAGTCTAGACGATTGTGGAAGCAACAAAATCAGGCAGAGGAATAGGAGTGAAATGATCAATACAAGTAAGAAGGTAGAAAAAACCGTGGGACAGTGGCGAGGGGCCTACAATGTCCAGGTGGACATGGCTGAATCTGGCGTCAGGAGTGGGAGACGTGCCCTGTGCCATCCTTGGTGCAGACTCTCTTGCCGCCTTTGATCTTCTGGTCGACTGTCATCAGTCACGTCTACAAATTCAGACCACCAAGCTAACCGTCCGAGGTATCCTTTCGCCTGAAGTGTCCTGCCATCTTGCTGTCCTGGACCCTGAACCCGAGAATTCATTTCGGCAGCTTCTCGCCAAGTACCCCGGTCTTACCCGTCCAAACTTCAGCGCATCTGCTCCACTGCATGATGCTGTTCATCACATCCGAACCACTGGCCCCCCTGTGTTTTCTCAGCCCCGCCGTCTCGTAACTGCACGGTTTGCTGTCGCCAAGGCCGAGTGTGAGCGCATGCATCCCTGTGCCGCGGTAATTGAGCTAACGCGTTTAATTATCGCGGCCAAGAGGCGAGACCCAAGTCCCAGCCAAGGGTGCACGCATTCACGCCGCAGTGAGACGGCGTGGATTCAGCCTTATCGCGAACACAATTCCCTCCGTTCCTATCACCCTTCTTTGGTTGACTACAAAATTGCTCATTTGACTCCGCATTCTCCCATTCTCTGATGATGGCCTACTATACGAGACCGGGAGCTAAGACGGATACATATGCTGTCCCAATGATCGTGCGTTCATCTACTTTGCAATAAGAACCTGGGACTCGTATATTCTCTCCCATAAGTTGAATGAACAATGCTTCTTTTTATGAAGGACAAAACTTATATCCATAAGGCGCCGAAACTGTTTTTTGAGGTTTCTATAGGCACTTCTAGGCAAAACTGATGGATAACTGTAGAATAGTCAGTTCATGTTTGGCTTTACTCCTCACGACTTAGTGTACTACTGTCAACAGGCACAGTAAGGAAGTAATATATTGCACGAATTTTTTGTATGCTTTACCCAGTCAACTCATGATTACCCTTCCTCTGTACATTACCTGAGACGACGTACATTGTCTCTCACGTGTGTAGGTGAATGGTGACTATCCCGTGAACACAGTGTAATCCATCATTTCCAAAGTTTTAACTTAGTGTTCATTCCTTGAAGCCGGTTTAACTTCCCGACAATGGAAATTACTTTTAGATCGTGGGATGAAGTGCTACCGTATCTGTGCTTTTGCACACGCTCAAGAGATCACATGAGTCCGGCACCAATATGAGTAAATTTTAGTCACAATAATCTGAGAATTTGGTCTCTGTCTTTGACATCAATATGCACATGAGATTTCAAGCACTTGCCGTTCACAATGGAGCGAGCCAGACAGAAACAAATCCCTGAAAACCGGAATCACTCGCTACCTGTATCGGTGCTTTTGTACCGTCCGTAGCCCTAGTGACTATTTCCTAAATAAGTAAGCAAAGACCTCTTTCTTTGAAACAACTTGCTTAACTCATCCCCCAGTGTGGTCATAAATTATAACTGCATTTGCATTAAAAATGGTGTCAGTTGTTCGGCTGATATGTATGCTTTAGCAGAAAATATACTTACTGTGTGCGCCAAAACTCACGTAAAATGCACCCCAATTTGTAAATAGGCTGTAAACTGCAAAGAATCTCATAGCAGAGCTTTCAATACTGATTAGTATTGACCGCGCCAGCGTTCTGTCATTTAGCTGGTCACTGTTGCAGACAGTTGCGTGGACAATATTTGACGAGATATCTTTATTTAACTAACGCGAAGATACTTGATGATGTTCTATGCTCCTACCAGTTTAATTACATCCAATAGAAACAATGTGTGGAAAGTTCACTGCTTACACCTTCTTGGTGAGAAGCTACCAGATATTTAGCTTGTTTCTGACTTGACGGAATGTTTTGTTTCTGTTTTGTGAAACTTCTGTTTGTTGAACATTACGGGACATTGGTGGCACTCTAACGCACGTGAGAAGTGTGTGTTACTTAATGGGTAGTGCCTTTCACTCACTGACTGACTTGGCATCCGACCTTTGAAGGGTGCTGGTCTAAGCAAATACAGGGCTGTGTGTCACTCTTCTGGGCCCAAAAGGTTTGTGGGCTTCTGCTATGCCATGATCAGCAAACAACAGCTCTCGCAGCCTGCTGGGCGCTGACAATTCTCTGACACGTGGTCCTCTGTCGGTAGGTATGCTTGCGAGCTAGATCGCAGTTGGTAGCCAGGCCCCGCATTACAGGTGGCTGGGGGGTTAGTTTACTGGGGCTATTTTGTGGGGCTCCATAATCAAATGTGACCCATTTGGCTTCCGTTTTACGGTTGAGGTTAGGATTAGGGTACCAGTTAATGGTTTCCGATTTTCAGGTTAGGGTTATGCATTTAGGCTTAGGTTTTCGGGTTACAGTTAGGGTTTGAGCGTACGATCATGTTTCAGTATTGTGGTTAGGTTTTTCAGTTACGCCTATGCCTAAGGGCTACAGTTACGTTTGCGATTTCGCCTAGAGTTCGGGTCAGGGTTGCCGTTAGGGTTAACGGTTAACATTTACTGTTGAGGTTAGGGTTAGGGTTAGGGTCAAGATTAGGGTTAAGTCGCCGTCCGCTTCCCATTCCTGGCTACCAACTGCGATCTAGCCATGATATTTTAGAGGAATGCTTTGGCGGCTGTGGTTTAATTCATCGAAGCCTATAGCAGCAGTGGGACAATTCTCAGGAATTATTTATTTTCCCCGAGTGCAAAATGTGAACTAATTAGAACGATGTCCATCTCTACTGCGTTTTGGCACACGTACGTCCGTCACTCTCACCTACCACCATCTCAAAACTGTACACCAGTACAGTTCTGGTTTCGGCGCTCAGAACTCCATTTTCTTGTCTTGCAACCTGTTCACCACCTCCGATAAATACCAGCTATCTGTTGGTAATAGCCGGTGTTTAAGAGCCACAATATTCCAGCTCACCTTTCGCATTCCTATGAACTGAGTCCGATAATAGGTAAAAGTGAAAACCCTACGAACACAACATGTAGACATGCAGTGGAGAATTTAGCAGGACATTTTACTCTCGCGAGAATTTCGCAGAAGTTTCCCGGAATAACATATCAGCAGACTGACAACGTTTCCAGGCGCACTTGACGCCTTTCTTCCCTGCCGCTGATAGGCGCTACGTTCAGCCCCTAAACACTGTTTCGTCTAGGGTCGTGTATAGACCGCACATCGGTCTCTTGGCCCCTCGCTCCGTAATTCTCACAGGCTACAGGCCTGCGAAGCATGACACGACACCGTCAAGGTCAGACAGAGTCATGTGGCTCCGCTAGCCTGACATGAAGAGAGCATTTTGCAGGGCTTGGTTACAGTCCAATCAAGTGCCTCACCTACTCCCTGCTTTATGCCTAGCATTGGTTCGGTGCAGACTGAGCGGAAACCAGTACAACTCAGATGCGCCAACGAATAGAATCAATAAGAGCCTGCTAGTGCACAAAGCGACAACTGCTCTGCATTAAATGCAGTCATAATCACGCGCGGTCACCTGAACACGCGCAAACAGACACACCTAAGGCAAATAAGTAACATCCGAGGGGATGCCTCACAGCCAGAATTCCGACTGTACAAACGAATGCCATACAGGCATTTACGGCGTAGAGACGCCTCCGCCCCGGAGTCCCATCGTCCTTTCGCTCAGCTTCATTTCCACAGCCCTGATCTTTATAGCCGTGCATGCATGCACTCTCGCGTATGTACAAAATGTCGGTAAGTTATGCGTAAAATGATTCATTCCCCAGATAGAAGGATCGAGTTTATTTTCTGATTTACATACTTTACCCTTTGCTAGGTAACTATGTTAGAATGACATAAAGCCCCTTCAACATCATCATGCGTCACGTAGCGTCTCGCCTAAATGGGGCTACTGACCTACTATCTTTGCAGTTCACACATTCAGCCCTAAGAACCGCCATTAGAGGTCGACTGGCAGAATATTTTGTAGGCATCGCCCATGCAGAAGTTCCTGACACGTGACTTACATCCCCAACAAAGGCTTGATGCTCTCCAGACAGAATTAACCCGTCAAGTCCATTGAGTTGCAGAATGTCCAAGCTTTCACTGACTGAGAAATGGTGACCCTATGCCCTCACTCATTATTGTCGCGTCTGTTTTCCGAAATCTGGTGCGTGAGCTTCAAGTGATGTTGCATTTGAATGTCTGTGTCCCGGGCATAATTATTCAAAGTTATATACACAAACCATGTTAACGTGAACACTTTTCTTGACTTAGCACCGACGATTGTGAACTCGATGTACGGCCTCATCGGAACGAGTCTAGCGTTTAATATCCTCTTTCTCATCGTCGCGGTGATAGCTGCGCTTCGACGAAAAACAGTGCATTACTTCTTTGTGTCCAATGTCCTCTTTCTACTAATGTGTGAGTTGTTTCTTATAATTTAATCTTCATTCGAATTCCACTTGCAGTCATACCAATATTTCCTTCTTTTTACTGTTACGACCGGGTATGTCGAGGAGGCAGTTTCGGCTTCCCTTGGATACCAAAAGATAATACGCTTAAGAAGGCAGGACTACAGTAGAAGATACCGTTGGAACATAATCAGTCATAGAAAACGCAAACCCGCAGAAAATTCTTCTGTTGTGTGTTTGACCATCTTGCTGCCAGACGGACTATGTGGCAAGCAAATGCTTCTGGTTATGGCAACAGTATATGCACGGGCGTCAAACGACCCTCTTCCACCCCGCCTTAAACTCTTGTGGTTGTTGAATTTGGGCCGTCATAATGCGAGTGGTGTTAGGACAAAGTCAAGAAGATCGGGATCAGGCGCAAGGCTAAGCAGCCCGTTTGTGTGCTGCACACACGGCCTGGTCCCCACTGAACGAACCAGGTTTGTACAAAATAGGCGAAGGTTTGGATCTAGGGAGATAAGACGATATTCGAGGACTACCGCGGCAAAAGCCTCATCGACGTTGCTGCGAAGATCTTCACTATTTTCCTACTCAGGCGATTCTAGTCTGTGCGTGATTCTAGGTCGAGGCCCAACCAAGCCCCATTCTGTGCTGGACGTGGATGCGCGGACTAGATATTCACACGGAGGCGTACTCTCGAAATTCGCCATAGCTGCCAGCAACCGACGACCGTCTGCTTTGTTGACTCTGCTGCCGCGTTCGATTCCGTCCATCGTGAGTCCCAATGGCGGATAATGACGCTAGATTATGTAGCGCCAAGAATCATCGCCATTATCAAGGCCTATTATCGCTCCGCAACAATCTTACCCAACCGTGCCGTATACGGTCTGGCGTCCGGCAGGGTTGTATCCTGTCGCCCATCCTGTTCAACGACGCTATTGACTGGGTTCTCGGGACGGCCCTACACGAGAGTGAGGATGTTGAATTTGCAACCGAACAACGGATGACTGATCTCGAGTATGCCGAAGGTATCGCCTTACTTGCTTCAAGTTTTGGTGATTTGCAGTCTATGGTGTCACGAGTGAAGGCGGTCGCTAAATCAGTCGGTTAGTCCATAAACGCTGGGAGAACCAAAGTGTTTTCGAGCTGCATCCCTGACCGGGAGAAAGCACCCCTCGGGAATGATGGCTGTCAAATTGAAGAAGTAGACATTTTTAAATACCTTGGGCTAGGCTGTTGCCTAATAAGACAGAGTAAGGACGAAATTGTCTCCCGAATCGATGCTGCCCTCTGGGTTTTCTCAAGCCTTCGGAAATGCCTATGGAACCGACGTGACCTCTGAATCACCACTAAGATTCGCATGTACCGTGCATCTGTCCGGTCTATCCTTCTCCACGGTTGTGAATACTGGGCTTTGCGCGTGGAGGACGAGGGAAAACTGGAGGTATTTGACCACCACTGCTTGAGGACCATCCTTCGAGTGAAGTTCACCGACTTCATCTCAAATAAGACAGTCCGCGCTCGCTGCGACAACATCACAAGGATAACACAGGCCATCCTAGAAAGACGACTGAGGTGGTTTGGGCATGTTCTTCGTCGGCCACCTCAGGAGCTCAGTGTTACTGCCCTCGATCCGGCACTGTTACCACATTACAGCGTCGAAGAGGGGGTCAACTCAAAACCTGGCACGACACTTTTCGTTAAAACTTGGAGGTGCTTCTTGGACCTCCGGTATTCGGTCTTCGTCGTTGATGAAGAGAATGGGTTGCACCATCTAGATTTGCTGCCCGGGATCGTTGCACGTGGAGAGGCATAGTTACGGATATCATCAAGGCCGGCTAGATCAGGCATGATTGCAGCCGCACCAAGTACAAGTGAGCACCCAGGCACGAAGGCAGTGTGAAAACTCATCATCGCATATTCAAGAAGGACCCAAGCTGCGTAGACCTGAATAAGAGTTAAGAAAAGGACGCGCCTGCTCGATATTAGTCAAAAACGAAAAGAAAGTATTTTTTAGCAACCATGGGGGGTTAGAGGAAACGGCATTCTACTTAAGTACAAACCATGATCCGACAGTTGGACTGTCCAAACAACGACGTACGCCAGGTACACCTCGGCGTGGCCACAACGTCAGTGGCTTGCGCATGACTTGCAACTGACTTGCACAGAATCCACCACGCCCTCCGCGCTACCATTCGCCTTGCCCCGATAGCAAGACACAGTCAAGACAACCGAGATTTGGCCCTAACTCGGGGGCTGACAATAACAAACAACCTGTGCAAGCGTGCATCACATCCGACTGAATCCCCACAGAATGTACCAGGCTTCTAGCCAAGCAGCTTACATTTAAAAATATCTTCCAACCAAAAGACCTCTCCTTTTATAAATCCCTGTAGAGACGTGTAAATGGAATTTCCGACTGTAACTTTTCTGGGAAGATATTAGATTTCTCATGTTGCTTCCCTTCTAGGTCTGTTTGACCTCGTTACCGCGATTGTCTACATCGTCGAGGCCTGCGACCAAAGGGATCTTATTGTCAGTTGGCCAGCATGTGCTCCTGCGATGAGCATCATTCTCCTTCCTCTGATTGCCGAGGTCGTTATGTTTGAAGCGAGATGAGGAAGCTTTTTTAGAGGTCTTGTCATTTATTATTCCCATTCCCGATTACCATGATATATTTCTGCGGCCGATACTTGGCCCACTGTGATATAATTTTAACAAATACATTTTTCAGACCGCTTAATCATTGCTGCGTACGGAAACTTCGGTACGGAAACTAATCTCGATCGGAGTGCACAACGCTTGTAGTTCCGCATTATGGCATATAAACTAACTCCTAAGGTCCCATCGACTGCTCGTAGGAACTGGCGGCTGTGCACTTTGACATTTCAAGTCTCCCCCGGTTTCTCTGCAGGCAGTTCAGTAAGACTCAAGCATAAATGGAACCCGATACTTCCATTGGCGATTACTCAATCAACCAAGGAAGTACAGTGCGTGACCGATCTCATGAAATCTTGGCCGAAATTCTGAAATGCGTTTTCCATTAGGGAAGATTACTTAGGTGGGTTTGTAATACTGATTATCTTGCGGCATAATCCTATCGTATTTTGGAGTCGCCAGTATGTCGCCTTTTGAATGCATTTCTTTTTCGCCTCCTGTAGAAAGCACACTTTTTAAAAAAGTGACTACATACGTAGCATGCATTTTTCCTATTGATTTTATAGAAAACATGCACAAAATATGCTTTCTTTTACTCCTTTGGTAGAAAATCGCATTGTCTGGATATTTTATACCCGAATAAAGTGTATATTTGGATTTTAAAAACGCTTTACAATTCCCGAATAATTTTGAGTCTGATGGGCAATTGCATTAGCGTTTGGCAATTTTAGTCTACAAGCTGCATGCTTTCCGAGTTAGGAGAATCATATAATTCTCCATACCTTTAAGAGGATACCACATAAGGTTCCTAAAATTTCGCAATGGGTCCGGACTGTGTCGTGCATTTCATTGGGAGCATTGGTAAACGGAAATTTGCGGTCCTGTATTCATGGACATCGCACGGTCTTAAAACTCTCATAATTAGGAACTTTTATAAAACCCAAATAAACACTTTTTCGGGTATAAACTATCAAGGCAATGTGATTTTTTACCAAAGGAGTAAAAAAAGCATATTTTATGCATGTTTTCTATAAAATATATTTGAATTTATAAGCCCATCGAAAATCAATAGGAAAAATGCATGCTACATAAATAGTCATTTTTTGCAAAGTGCGGTTTCTGCTGAAGGTCAAAAAGGAGTGCATCCAAAAGCCGACATCCTCCTGAGTCGGAAATGCTATAGGCTTATGCTGCATACTAATCATTATTACAACCCCACTTAACTACTCCTTCCTAATCGAAGACGCATTTCAGAATGTCGATCAACATTTCATGAGATCGGTCACGCACTGTAGGTATGCAGAAGAAAGAAGGTGGTCTAATGTAACTGTCCCAGTTGGGTGTATACGCCCGCGTTAAAATCATTAAATAAACACGAGATAGACTGCAGGAATTCCTCAAGGTTTATGCGAAAGTTTCAGATAGGACTTTTTTTACACTGCAGCCGTCATGAGCATCGGCTGTTGCTGGGAGCTAGGAAAGTCTACCAAGGCACGCTTACAAGGACCTGAATAAGATAAAAGTCGCATAGAGCGAGATCGACTAAAGCTGCCAAGCTCTACTAGATACCTTTTCTGAGGACGTCTAGCCGAGAAGATTAAAGTCGAGTGTAAGTGCACAGGCAACTCGTGGGCACGCACGCCTTTCGCCGTTTGCACACAGGTCGAATTAGAAAACATGTGATCACTGCTTTCTGGGGACTCTGTTTGCTAATCTGATGACTGAACTGAGTAGGAATCTAAGAGGTGGGACCAAAAAGTCCCTGATGTAAAAATCGAGGGCATTAACTAGACCAAAATTGACCGATCCCTTGACGTCTATCCGTAATTATGCCGACATTTGAACTTAACCGGGGTATAATTAAATTAAGAAGTTAGTCAAGCTTCCGGCGAAGAAGACAGATATTACCGCTTCTATATCTAACTAAACCAAAATCATATTTCCCCATGAGAGTAATTGGGATTCTGCTCCCTATTCTGATTTCTGAGACCTATTCTGGCGTCCATTCAGCGAAGGCGAAAATTGTCACATTTACCGTTTATTATTTCAACATCTGCCTTACTTTAAAGTAAATGTATAAAGCCTGGTTTGCAAGTTGAATGTTTACCCGAAGGCTGACTGACAGAACTTCTGAAGGCTAGGAATCCAACAGTTCCCTCGAAATCTGACAACGACCCTTGGTGCTTATCTGCTCTAGGACCCATCGCGTGGCAATCGGCTTCGTCCAGACTTGAGATGAACCCCCAGCACTACAGCAGGGGGTCCCCATTCCCGTTTCCTATAGTACGGAGTACATATTCCCTTTCGCTTGGGTGATGGAGACACATAATATGTTAACAATTGGTGCTTTTGACTCCTTGAAGCTATGTTTTAATCCTAAAGAAATACCGTTCAAATTCAGCATGCTTGGACTGATAACAGACGGCTTTGTTTAGGTGTTAGGTAAGTCTTGGTGATAAATGGGGAAAATGAGGCAGATGAACAAATCCAAACTAAAACTAAAGACTTACCGAGGAACCGAGTTTCTCACAGTTGGGTAAATGTGAATTATTTGAAATCTGCCATAACAACTATGAATTACATGAACTTGGTATTCATATGGTGGATTCTAGATATATTACTTAGGAGATCCTGTTAGGCTGCCAGCCTACTGTATTATGTTTGGTGAATTCCAGATGTTGCATTAGGTTGGGCGAGTAACTTGACCCAAATCTGATTAAACTCGAGTCGGCCGGGGGGGGGCTCTTAGCTCAGGTAGTTAGAGCGTTGACTGTACTAAAGTCTCCCCCTTACTGTCGTGTGATCGAATCCCACCGATACGCCGAGTTTTCCACAGTTAGTTTAAAGTGAATTATTAAAAATATAAGGGTAACATGCGCTAGTCAAAGATACCTACTTCAAAAACTGTGACAAGGCAGATTTAGTAGTAAGCGCTGTAATGTGATTCCTTAAGGTCACTTTAAATGCCATCGGTTTCTAGGTCGATGTGATGAATAGAAAATATTTAAGTAAACACATCACCGTTACTTTCAATAATGAACTTATCTAGTCAGCTTCACTAGCAGAAGTTGAAGTAAATTGGCTCTCGCCCTCTAGTGCTAGGAAGGGGAGGCGTTTATACATTTCCTTTCGCAATTTAACCTAGTTTTTTTCTCCTATGCATGGTAAGACAGCGGCATAAAATAATGTTAATAATAACCGCTAACACTAATGAGACCCCGACTTAACCGCTTCACTAGTTTCTGTAGGAAAGAATAACTATGCGGGATAACAAAGCTGAATATCATGAACCATTAAGCTATGATCATGACAACGGGCGTGGCCTTGAGTGAGCATCCGTCTAGTCATGGGCATGATGTACGTTCGGAAATCGATAACTATTCAACTAGTTTGATTCCCGCATTAATTCCATCCCATGGTCGATAGTGGATGAACTAACGACTATTTCCTTAGAGGCATTGTACAGAAAACCACCTTTTTCGGGATTGTTTTTGCTTGAAATCATTCGCAGTACTGATACTTTTTGAGATAATTCATGTAACTGGATGTCTGCGCTTTTGTAATTGCTGCATACCCAGTATGCACCCGAGCCCATGTATGACATTGTGATATTTTATAGGACATCAAGAGATTCCTTCACAGAAACACGAAGATTTGCCTTAATTTATCTCAGACAAAATATGCAAATTGCAGTTCTGAAACCCTAGAAAGGCAAGAAAACGCAGATTGTGTGTTGTAATATACGATTGTCAGTCAAAACGATTTATACCTCACACTCATATCTTCAAGAACTGTATTTTAGGAAACACAACTCAGTATAAAGTGATTGTAAGAAATGAATACCTGTGTAAGATTTTAAGAAACGTGACTTCATATTTGGAAGTATCGAAAGCCATTGAGAAATCCGCCTGTCGTCTGGGTAGTTTTCGGACAGGTGCAAATAGGAGCTTATTCAAAATCAAACAACTTCAAACAAATTCACGTGAGGTGATGCCCTCGTTCTAATTATTTGCGTAGCCTCGTATAAGTAGACTCTTCAGGTGAAAGCGTGCTTTTAAACTGCGTCCACACTGAGTTTTAGCGAATATCACACTGTTTTAGGGTTACGAAAATTTCCGTAGAGGTAATTAGAAGACGAGGTGACGAGCATATTTTGCTTTCGATAAATTTTCCTCGGGCCAGTACCATTATATGGAACCGTGTTGGAAGCAAAAACATGTAAGTGACGCTTCAAGTGAACTCCTATGGAGACGCCTTGATCAGGCTGTCTCGCAAGCCTTTCTAGGTGCAGGGGTTCGAACATCATTTTCTCCTAACCCTGTTTTACGCGGAGAAGATAAGAATAAGTTGCCACCTCAGACTACCTCAGTGTGCATCAATTCCTTCTTTTGCTTCTGTGGAGCCTATCCAAGTGAATACGAGAACACCTCCCGGTATGGCTGGGAAAATGCGAAACTAGTAGCATAAGTAGCGCCATTCTTGAGCATGTTATTGATACTGGACATAGTGTGAACCCCAGCAAAGCTTTTCGCGTGATCTATAAGGTTCCATCAAGCTACCCCAAATTACTTGGCCAGCGCCCGCTAGCAGCGGTAGAAGTGGCCGCCATCAGGTTATGAAAACCAATCTTGTGCTCACAGAATAACCACGTTTAGGCTCCGCCCCTACAGTGCTTGAAGGTCAACTAACGCTGCAAATCTCTGTGCCCTTCCGCACTCATCCCGCCCCTGGCATCGACTGCCTTTACCCCCCCCCTCGCTCACATTCACACACCCCGCCTGTGTTTAAAGCCGAACTGAAATCAATTCCTCTTATCACCGACATGTTTTCGTTTCTAACCCGTTCCCATATTTTTGTACTGGCCTGAGGCGACGTTATCGAAAGCAACGTGTGCTCGCCACCTCGTCTTCTGAATATCAGTCTTTTATGTCCAACCAGCAGCCAGCGTCTCATGCCTCTCT